ATGGAAATTACCAACAACAATTAAACTTGATGTTTCTGAAGCTGTTAAATATATTCTTTTAATGGAAACATGTCCATGGATTGTGAATTGTTAGGATACATTGTCATATGTATATATATATAAATGAAAAGCCATTGCATTTTTTTAATGTATATAATTTTGTGTCAGATAATGTTTTTGCAGATTTGCCATTTTAATTGTGTGAATATTTTTTGTTTTACAAAAGTGATTTGTATATTATATATAAATAAAGATATTGAAAGTATTATGTAGTTGTAAGAAAAATAATTATTTGTGAATCTTTGCTGATCGTAAACATTGGCAATTGATGTAGAGATTGAAACAAATGCTGTCGCTTAACTCTACTGATTAGAGTATTTTGACAATTTATTCAAATATTATAATATTTGTTTGAGTTTAGTTGCTTTTTTTGGGTAAATAATTAGGAACCACGCTTATATATCTTTTAGTTTTAGATTTTACAATCGTTTGTTCTTTTTCTTTGTTCTCTTTCAAATTAAAACAATACTCATCAGTAAGCCTTTAATGAGCGTAAATTGAGTGTAACCATTTAGTTTTTTAAATGGTCTATAGCTAATTGTTGAATTCAGAAATTCTATAACTATTTAGGTTAGTCCATAAATAAAATTTAAAAAACAGGAAAGAGTACATCTCTCTAAAATGTTTCTTTTAAGGTAGAATTTTCGCACTTCTGCTAGATAAAATATTTCATGTTATTCACAATGTCGATATGCTAGTGTTTTTCTATTTTGCTCGTGAAAAGTTTCGTCTCATGAGCTTTGAGATCAGTAGACTTGATACCCTTGGGTTTCTTTTTACTGGAATATATTCGACTAGAGATAATAGCTTTGAATCTTTTCGTAACGAAAATAATCTTTTGAAGTTCACGTTCACATGAGCAACAAGAAAAAAGTTTTCCAATTGGTCACATTTCTGTAGGGAAGGTATCATATAAATATGTCAGGTTTTCTAAAATATCTATACAATTTGAATTATCATGATTATATTGAAAATTATCAATTTACATATCATCTTACAGAAACGTTCCTTCATCTTTGGGTGTGAAAAGTAAGTGTAGATTGGACTCTGGGTCTGGGTAAGAATCTTGCTCCGGGTCTCGGCCTGAATATTTTCTACACCTTTATCGATATCCGCACCCTTTTCGTATGTTTAATGACTTCGTCGCACGATCAGCGAGATGAATGCTTTGTATGCATAAACTATTTAATAATTGAGCAACATCTCTAACATCCTAATTTCTTTACTGTTTCTATGGTATTTTGCTGTTAAGTTACGTCCACATACATGATTCTTACATATTCAATAAAGTCCATCCTTGTGCTTAACTTTTCAGTACTGAAATTTCCCATGTTGAAAAATCACCAATCCAATAAAAATTGATCGAAAAAAAAAACATTGCTTCTATGAATCCTTTCGTGTTCTTTTCTTAAAAAAATAATTGTTTTTCTTTTATTCAACATCAAAGATTCTTTTTAACATACAAATCATTAGATTAGTTAAGAGATCAACAATATTTTTCGTGCATTTTTGATTCTTCATAAACGAATTTTTTCAATAATCTTTGAAAATGTACAAAATATGCACATAAATTGATTTAATAAAAACATTAAATTAAAAGATTAAATCGAACATTTATCAACAAGCAAACAATAAAATTAATCATTTGTTGTATTTGAATATATTTGAAAGCGTAGTATAAGACAAGAACACATAGCATGTAGAAAAAGAAAAGAAAAATCTAGGATGTTTGTGGAGGTGATATTCTTATTTCCAACCACATTACTGTTTGTTCTATTTTATTGATAGGGAATTATATGATTCTTACGCTTTGTGAATAGATCTTTTTTATGCGTCATTGTTGTATTAATTTTCCATAAATTTATCGAAAAAATCCATTGTCAATTCTGTTACTTGCATGTGTTGTTGCTCGCTAATGAGTCTTTACAATATCTTTCGGTTTAGATAGCCGAGTGGACATGTTTTATTGCTAATAAATGTTAGCTTTTTCGAGTGCCTTTTATGCCACTTAAATGATTCAAATAATTTAGTAGGTAACAATTGCGTGCATTTGAGATCATTTCAATCGTCAAGCAGAAGAGTATGGTATGGCTTGGTAATTGATTTTTGAAAAAAAATAGGCAACATTTAAAAGTCATCACTATAGAATGGATTGATAATTTCTACACCGTTTTTTTCCCGCTGTGTAAAAAGAATCACTCTATCTTTTCTACTTAATAGACACATTACACATAGTTGAGCAACTAAACTCAAATTTTTCAAGAAAATTCTTCAATATGATTTCATTGAACCCATGATAAATCTTGCAAAATATTTTGAAATCCTATACATGTTACAGATACTGAAAAATTTGTCTGAATTCTATTTAACACAACTCATCAATTGAATTGAATTTAGTTTAGTTCGCTGATTTAAAGCGTAGTGATACAATTGTGATCTAGAGGAGTTCAATACATGGTATTGCGCTAGTTGACATGTAGCGAGAATCATAACTACGCCCATGACCTAAATAGATAGAAATATACGTAGAATGGTTTATTAATATGGCACTTTTTTTGTGAGATTTTGTTTCTTGAGTTTGTTGCTTCGCCAGAATTACGAGGAATATAGCATCTGAATCAAATGGAAATCTGAAGCCGTTAAAGCGTCTTTCAATTCAATTGAATTCATATTATGATTTCAATCGACACTTTTCTTCAAATGAATTGTCCAATCATGACACAAAACAGTGGTCTCACATTGACTGCACATAATCTCTTATATATAAGTAAGACGAGTTTAGGATTCAGATGAGATTAAAATAAAGTTTTTAAATTCGGAAGTAAAAAATACCGTGAATGTATAAAAAAAAAAATTCTTTATTATTAATATGGTTTATGTGTATTTTGAAGTTTACTTGATAGTAGAGATGTGCTTAGATTGTTATTCTATATATAAACCATCATCAATTGATTATATTTATTTTGTTTTAGTAGAATTCATATTTCAACAGTATATTTTTTATTTTTGCAACACGGGGACGTTGAATAGTTAACCAAAATTTTTGAAAAACTATTGTTTTTTTTTAAATATTTATTCAGATGAGTGGAAGCTTGCTGTCTGCCGTTTTAAAAAACAAACCTTCACTTCAACAAAAGTGTATCTTATAATAATGATATTATGACACAATGAGTGATTGTAAACACTGATGAAATCGAAAATAACATTTACTCTCTAAATACTATAATCGATGGTACTTAGTGCATAGTCATTTTTGATAGAGACAAAACTCTAGAAAAAGGATCAAATTTTTTATTTATGGTCTTTAATGTAACCATATTTTCTTGAACTCGTGTCTAAGTCCATTAGTTCATCTTGTTTATCAAACTTTATTCCTATTATAAATTGTCTTCTGAGAGAATTTTTTATAATTAATGCGCGCGTTTCAAACTTAACTGAATTCTCATGTCAACTGTGACATATATTTGAGATTCCAATTACTACATAAATTGTACACCCGTGAGCATCTTCAGCTGGTTCATGGAGTAATCAATCATCAAAAGTTTATTTTACTTTACTAAAACAATAAATAAGACACTTGTCAATCATTCCATATTCATACATATATCTCCGAAGCTGAGTCCATTATTTATATTATAATTATTGCAAGTATAACACAAAATATTATTTGTAGCACTGAATGTTATCAATAACATTCTGATGCTAACAATTCTCTGTATTCCACCTACACTGAAACACTTTAAACATATACTAACAAGCATAAAAGCACGACGGATCATTCGAATGTGCACCATAGCTCTTCACTAAAGTCACGTGAATAAGATTGGCATAAAAACTTCACATCTTATGACTTCGGCATTTTGAAACAACAGAAATATTGCATATCACTATTGTCAAAAAATATCTAATTTAAATTGAAAAAAGAAAACTTTATTTTCGGTTTCAAACAAAAGCATTTATAAAACACCAGTCACACATTCACATTCATCCAACCTGTTACTTCTCCACCAGACCATCATTATTAACAATGTTCATCGTTTGGCTTGCCGATTATTTCGTTTGATCAGTTCTTACATATGCAGTGCAAATTAGACTTCAACATCATTTTCACTAATCTTGAACACGACGAGTGCCTATGTGAAGAAAAGCAGATGAGTATATCAGAGAGATCAAGAGAGAACGAGGATCACCGGATTATTCTGTAATGCAACAGCGAGATATTGTGATCCAAGAGCTCCGATATGATTATCTTTGAGATTGAGTGTTGTGGGTGCCTGTGCGAAAAAATACAGATCGATATATGGGTGTGGGTGGGTGTGGGTGTGGATGTGGGTGTGGGTTTATGTGACATATTAACCACATCCACACCCACACCTACACCCACACCCATACCCACACCTCATCACTAGAATTTCAATAGAAATAAGAAATAAAAAAAGACAAGGTTCTAGAATTTTTATCTCACGTTTGAATAACAAGTTAATTAGTTTCGGAATCTTTTGTAGCATAAGCTGTAAAACCAACAACATTTGTATCTTTGTCATTAGTATATTGAATAGGTGGTACCAATCGAAAGGTATATTGTTGTTATTGTTATTTAGTTGTACCAGGATCCGTATAAAGTAAAATATTAAATTTATTTGGAAAATTTTTTCGTTCAACATTAATAAAATCTTTTGTTTGTTCCACCAAATAATTGTAATAAAATATCTTGTTTTTTTTTTATATGTTCACATCCCAAAATACTCTTGTTGCTATAAGCAAAACAAAAACAAATTAGATTATTTTATTTCTTTCAAAGAATCATATCAATTGCATTTGTTAATAATTCATAAATATCAGGACATTCAAATAAGTTATGAAATTGAGTTACATGTTCTTTTGAATACTCATGAACTAAATTATATGAGAAGAAATAAAAGCATGATGAGAGAGAAAAATAGGAATGAAAATTTTTGCATTGATTCTTTATCATGAATTTTTGCTTGTCCTGCAATTTCACCTTCAGTTATAAATATCTTTTGACAACAAACATGAATAACATCAATAAATGTATGATATACAGATCGAACATTTCTTGTTTTAGGATTAATCCGAAGTGATACTGTTCGAAATATACCAGTTACTTGTACACTAAATTAGAAAAAAATGATCGTCAATTAGAGATTAAAAAAAATGTTGGTAACTAATTCTGTCTTACATCTAGCTGCTTTAAGTAAACCTATGTCAATGTAAAAGCGGAAAAAATCTATAAGTTCAGTACTAGCATAGTTTTACATTCTTAAATTAGTAAGATAAAAATTAAAAAAAATCACGTCAACAATATTGCCGAACATTTTATGTTTGATATTTCATCTGAATCTTAATATTGGAGCGCAAGTTTCTGCATAAAAGTTTAAAAAATGATCTTGAAAACTACGTTTAGCCATAAGTCAATTTCGAGAGCTGTAAAAAAAAAAGCTTTTGTTTTCAATCACCCAGTCTTGATAGAATTCTCAGAGGGCAAGCATCTCGTGTTAAATATCGCATAGTAAAAAATTCAGCTCGATGTATTGAACTGCTGATGAGTTAATGTATGATTTTGAGTCAAATATATAGCTATCTATACGTATCACAGTTGTTCGCCAATCTGAATGTCATAAAGTTCTGGTCGATTTTAAAATACAGCAAAGACATGACAGTAGAAATGAAGAGAGGCCGATTTTTCTATTTTTCTCCTTGAAATCTCATCTGACAAAATACGAAAAAAATCAGGTGTAGCTCGAGAACACATTATTTTTAAAGCTTACTGTTATCTTCATTAAGACATCAAAGCAAGTTTCCAAAATAACGAAAAAATCTAAGAAGATCAAAACCGTTAAAACTAATAAACGTATAGAGTGTGAATCTTCAGTTCACACATACACTGATTTCAGTGTATATTTTTTTTCATGTTGAAGTGTTGTATGTACGTATCATAGTTAGTGAGATATGATAATCATGTTTATTACTGGGGTGTGGGTGTGACTGTAATTCTGAATAAAGACAATATTGAAAAACTCACCCAAACCCACACCAGCACCCACCTACACCCACCCACATAAACCCGCCCCACACCCACACCCCCGTTTTCAAGAAAATGATAGAATGAAGGTCTTTCCAAATAGCATAAGATAAAACAAAGAAGATAACCTTTATGAATGTTTTCCATAGAATAAATACTATAATATACAAATTACTACAATGGTATCAATATTTGAGCTAACACCGGCTCACGTTTTTCTAGACCCATCTGATAAGTCTTGTCTATTGTGCAGCATAAAATAGGTTGAGTGATGTGTTTAATTTTTCACATTAATTAATTTTACAAATTTGCACTAGCTTTTTATGTCAGTTTCTATTATTTATTCCATGCGCTTCCATGAAAGTATTAGAATAAAGCATGGTAGTTCTGAAAAAACAATGACCAAGAATCAAATTAAGATGGGCTTCTTGAAATACCTTACGAGCTAGAAATGAGGTCTGAATTGTGAGAACATATTTTGAAACACTCAGTCAATCAAGTAGACGCTGGCATTCTGAAGTTCATATGGAGATATTTTTATCTTTTTTCGAATAAGAATGTTACTACAGATGTAATTTACTGTTTTTCTTAAGTATTCACTGAGGTATATGGCATCTTCAATATCAAATATTTAACAATAAGAATTCTTCAAAATATACCTGAAACTTTGCATTTTCTTTATGATTTAATGAATTTTTATGCACTTGATTGTTTGGAAAGTGAACAGGAGTTGACTTTCACTCATTTTCATTAACCGAAACTGAAAATGCGGTTCTACTTTAGACTAATTTTGGAAAATATAAAACTCTTTAACTAAGTAGCATGCTATTCCGGAGCGGTAAATAAAAAAAGTGAGACGCGTTTTAAATTTTTTTGTCACGAAAGGACCTCCAAGTAATAGTAGTTGTGTATCATTGAAGGAACAATTTGTAAAAACAACATCGGAAAGTCTGAATGTCAAGAGGGTGAAAGTAAAAAATAGCAGATACCGGAAAACAACTTATCCGGTGTATGAAAACATCGACTTGCGACAGTGCCCGATAAAAAAATGTCGAAATCAGGAATCATTGATTTGTGACATTATCTCATGCTTAAAGCTGATTACTTGAAATTTTAGTACTACACCACACCAAGGTCACAGACCAGACTGGTAACTCTGAGCCACACGTACCCACACCGTACATCCTAAAAAAAAGTCATTTTCATCAACCAATCTTTGAATTCAAATGCAACTTTTGATAAAAGGCGATTTGGATAATGAAAAATATGAATAAAACTTATTCGTTTGAAAAAAATCTCCTTAGTGTCAATTGTTTTTTTTGTTCAGAATTGATCCAGTCATGTTTCGCTTGATTTTGCCATAATAGACATTGAAAGTACAAGATCTTTCTTTTGTAAATGAACTTTAACTTGATTTAGAATTGTAATTGTTGATGATTTTTCATCATCGTTATAGTAAACACGATAGATTGAATAGTTGTTTGGATTTTCTAGTAAACATTCAATTTCACTAATGGACACTTGAAAAGTATTTTTATTGCACGATCGAGTAGTTTTGACTTCGATTAATTCTGTTTCCTTATTATTCTCTTTGTGTACAAGTCGAATATCATATGGCCGACCAGATTCTTGATGTTGATTCATCCATTCGATTTGTTCATCGGGATATTTCCATTGAAGATATCGAAAGACGAAACATTCACCAGATCGACCCGTTTTAAGATCGTCTTCTGAATTGCTTGAGCTGGGATTGTTTAGTGTAGCCAATACATTCGATACTGAAATATCGAAATCACGTATATTTGAAACACGAATGCATTCAAAAATGGACGAAGAAATGTTTCGAATTGTTAAAGTTCGATCAAATGAACGTTCTCTCTCACTTGATTGTTTCTGAGCATTATCTAGAATAGATACAATTGTGTATGAATTGAATGCAAACGTTTATAAATTCTAACTTTTGCTATTGATGGAATTATTTTGTCGTGATTTTTTATCATCAGTTGTTTTCTTTTGTTCAATATGTTCATTGTTGTTAGTCTTTAAATTTTGTTCGACATCCTTATCTTTCTTTTCATCTTGATCGTTTTCATTTTTTCCGTGAGAATTTTTGGGCATTGCTGTCGATATAGACGAATGCACTTTATCATCATGTGATTCAGATAGTTTTTCTTGTGTAATGCTGCCTGATTGTGATTTTCTCTCGTGTGAAGCTCCATTCAATGGTAAATGCAATCCTAACGTTCCTGGCTTAACAGGAAAACTAACAAGTGGCTTCGATCCGTCTGTATCTGCTTTATTATGTTGAATATTTAATGAAAAACAACTTGATTCATTTTTCATGTTTTCAATAGCTTCATTTGCAATGTTAACCGATGCATTATTGATGCTTCTTTGTAGTTCATCATCGTTTTCTTGTTCTAATAATGATTGGTTAGGTTGTTTGAAAATCGATGGAATCATCCATTTGGAAGTATCAGCTGATGAAGGTAAGCTTTTCCGAAAATTAATCAGACCTTCGTCTCCATTATGTTGATAAGATTGATAAAGATTTTTAATAAATTCTGCGAGTTTAGGACGCATTAATTCATTGTCAACTAAATAATTTACCATTGTATTGATATGTTTTTCTGGTTTGTCGATTATTTTTAAAATGAAAAACTTTCCTTCAGATTCATCAATATACGACGAATGGATTGTCGATGATATCAAAGTTCGTATGATATTTTCATTGTAGGAATAAGAGAAATGAATTCGATGAACATAGACAATTTTCATTCGAACAAAAACTGATTGAAAATAATTCGATCGTGTTTCGATTAGACCATTGTTTTTAATTAAAAACGATTGAATAAGATCTATTGTATGTGAATAAAAATCAGTTAACTCAACAGATGGATATTCATTATCACCATGAGCGACAATCTTAATGATATCACCAAGATTTCGAATTTTGAACATTGAACAGAACATATTTTTAAACGCTGGAGTACACACTTTATCTAAGAGTTAAATATACATAAGCGAAAAGTCTAAAAACGAAGTTTAGAATCACTGATCTCTGTTGGTTTTTCAGAAAACAAATATCAACATTTTATGACATATCAATGAGAAGTTACGCAATTAATGTATATTTTATTTAAGATAATCTGACTTGACTGTGAGAGTTTCAATCACACTATGACACTCCATTGCTCAACTGTATTCATCAGTGAACGTTCTGATCATGAATACGAGATTCTTTGATGACATACTTCATACATTCAAAAAACATGACTCGAATCTAGTATACACCAGATTCTCAATGTTGTTTTTCAATTTATTTCGATTCAATTATTCCTACTCTGAAACTTCAAGTCATTCAAATGTTTAGATCGATATACTCAGTTGAGTTATTTATATCTGTGTGCACAGAAAACAAAAAGCAATTGAACAATCAACTGGTAGAGTACAACGGATTTCATTAACGTTGTTCTAATATTTGCTCCTGTTTGATATGCAAGAAGTACTTATATTCATTCTGTATGTGTATGTCACTGACAGAGGATGATATTCCATTTTTTATTATATACTTTAACGCTCATTGGAAAAAAATGTTTGCTCATAATTTTACTACCCGTTACAAAAAGATTACTATCGATTTGTAAATATAATAAACATGTACTTCAATGACTTTTAAGAACATCTTTGAGATTTTTAGTATTCATGTTGATCATTAGATGGATATTGAATGCTGACCAATATGTTTGTTATATATTTCGATTCGTCAAGGCTTTCATCTTCGAATGCTAATCTCTATTATATTCCGTTAAAAAAACTAATGGATCCGATTTTGCAAATAAATATTTGACATTGTCCTTTAAGTCTTATGTGTTATTATTCTAATCGGAAGACGATTAAAATATTAAAAATATGTTATTTTCATGTTTATAAGACATTATTCTTACTTGATGGATTAATAATTAACAATGCGTCGATAAATAGACGAGCAATATCCAAATCATGTGGATAGAAAATTGGATCGTTATATTTACAAAATTGACTCTTTGTACTAAAAGAAGGAATAAAAGCCCAGTTGGCACATTTATCTAAATAATTAAACAAAAATTCATTTATATCTCGGTTAGAGTTTTCGCAAAAACACCTCGAACTAATGTTTGCTTATTTTGAGCAAATGCAAGACGTGTTATAACATCGATACATCGCCAAATATATTCTTTTTTTCTATTAATTACATTTGATAATAATGGAAGATAATCTTCAAGTGTTGGTTGCTGTTTAACATGAAGTAGATCAATAAAAAACGATGACAATGTCGGATTTTGTCCGTAATAAGGTCGAATAAACGTATATTGCATAGATGAATTTCGACTAGTCAACGTTGTATTATTTGTTATATCTAAAAGTGAATGCGGATCATGCCAAATGACTTCATCAACGTATAGAAAATCGCCTAAGTTTCCCGTTCGTGGTACGAATACAATTGACCATAGACGAAAACGAAGAAGTAATCGATGAGTTTGATTATTGGAAATTATTGTTTGATATACTTGACAAATATTTTCAATCTTATCTAAACATGATTGACGTGTTGTTCGCAACATAGTACACGGTATTCTAAATGAAATTTACATAAAGATAATGTTGAATTATATGCCAAATAATAAAATGATTAACATACGTTTCATTTTCAGGTAAATTAACATGAAAATTGATAATATGATAGAGAGAATCTCGATCTAAATTACAAGACCATTTCATAAATAATTCAAACATTGTCATAGATGTTATTTCTTTTCTAAGTCCAAGAATATTAAACATAAAATCTACATCTTTCAATGGTACTTTGACAAGATCTACATGTGGCACATAACGATGAAATTGATGATTCGATTTTAGACAATAGACATCCGTCGGTTTAAATAGTTTTCCACCAACAACAGGTATCCAAGAATGTTGTCGAAGTAATCGAAGAAATGACGATTCGACACCTTTTATTGGCGGCATATTCATATATCGTGTACGAGTACAAATCACCGAAGCTACATAGTACATTGCAATTGATTTATGATGTTGATGAAGATAGAGTAGAAGTTGAATACATTGTTGAATATCATTGTCTTTCGATGAGATAAGTCTTTCGAATTCATCCGAATACCAATCTTTTATAATAAATGGTTCATGGATAAGTTCGGATATTGATGATATTTCATTTGCCCATGGACTATCAACAAGTTTTTCAACATTTATAAAGCCTAGATGAAATTAATTGCTCATGTTTAAAATAATTTTATCTGAAAATCAAAGTAATCGATTACCTTTATCAATATATTTCATTTGAAAGAAATCATAGAGATTTAATTCATTGAGAAATATAACAAATTTTTGTTTTTCTCTATCGTGATAGAATAATTCATTTTGATATTGTTGAATATAATCATTTGAAATAAATGTAAATTGATGATTAGAAAGTTTTAAATATTCAAGTGATTTTGAACAACCATATAAAGATGTTAAATGAATAATCGTTTTATCAATATCAAGTCGAACGAATTTACCATCACGTGTTTTAATAATCATTTTTGTCTTTAATTTTTCCATTTCATATGTAAACGTTTCAGGATTTGGTGCATAAAGTTCTTTATAAATACAAATAAGATATGCGATAAGTATTGCATTGGACTTTTTTGACCATTGACTATCATCATTGATTACAGGTAAAATATGACTCGAATAAATTCGTCGAATATTTCGTGCATCACACAGACCTAGGAATGACATATGTGAATAAGAAAGAATGCCAACTTTTAATACTTACCTAAATTGGTAAGTAATGTTTTAACTGAATCAATACGTCGTGGATATTTATCTTCGATATAATCAAGTAGACGATTGTCAATTGTTGGTAAATCATCTAGAATAATTTTAAGATGTTTCTCGAATTTAATTGATTTATCTAATGGAAATAAAATTGTTCGTTCTTCGAATTCATCAAATGATACTAATCGTGATTGATGTCGTAATGGTATGATTTTTAATTGTTTTAATTCATTCATCGTTGTCATTTCGTTTTCATCATTATCGTCATCATTATTAAAACCAGGTCGTTCACGTTCTTGTTGTAGACTATAATCGATACAAAGAAGCCATTGTGCAACTAAAATAAAATTTAGCAAAATAAATTTATCTGCAATTTATAATCAGCTTTTATTGTTTTTTACTTTGTTCAATGTTGGTAGTTTTTGTTGAATGTACTTGATCATTTTGTTTATATAACGTACGGATTAATTTAAGAATATCGCCAAAATCTAATCGATGACAACCTAATTTGATTAGAATTTGTTCGTCACATTCTTTTAGAAATTCATCATGTAAATAATAACTATTAAAATGTGATAAAAGTAAGTCTTGTCAGAAAATCTTTCGTATAAATGTATCACGAATAAGAACACATTGTGATGGTAGAACCCAATCAATGTGTTGTTCGTCATCATCATCATCATCATCATGACAAAATACAGGTAAACGAATAATACCCATCAAACATTGAATACTTTTATCAACAAATATATTAAAATAGGGATCGATTTCATTTCGTGTTGGTATTAATTTAAGAAAATATTTTAAAGTTTGAATTTTTGTTAATGGATTAGTGGGTGTTTGATGAAAATCGAATTTACATTGAGCAAGTAGAGTAGGCAAATGTTGAAATCGTTCATAGGTTAATGGAAATAATTGAATCATTTCAGATTTTAACCAATCATTCCATCGATTATCACGTAGAATTTCTTGTCGTGATGCCGTAATTTCAAAATCAGCTTGTAAAATAAAGCGAAAACCATACGAACGTAGTGGTAAATAAGCAAATAATGGTTGTGTCGAAAGTATTTGATGAGATGAACATTGATCAATAGGATTCAATGGATAAGCTATGGCGATAGTTGTGGATTCAACATCACATTTCACTTCGCTCAATTTCATCTAAATCAAAAGTCGAGAAAAAAACAACATATATACACATGTTTATATTAAAATGACTAGCTAATCATTTAGGAATTGATTTTCAACATGTAATACATAGGAAGATGAAGACATTGTCTGTTCACTTCTGATGTTCGCTTACTTTGAGATCAGTAGGCACGTGAATAACTTTTTTTACAACGAGCCAAAATTGTTTCATGACAGTTGCTGTTTGTGTTGTTCGTTCTTGTAATTCGATAATTTGTCCTTGTGCATGATCGATTCGAGTAAACTGACTGCAAATACTAACAAGACGATTATTATTTTCATGTATGATTTCAATTTGTCGAAGACGGTTCAAGAATAATAAAAGTATTGGCTGAATATCATCGAAATTTCTTTGAAGTCCATCACCTTGTTTATCTTGTTTGATCGGTAGACGTATACATGTTAACCATTCATTACGCGTTGGTAATACTTCCGTGGGTTTATCCAACCAAATTGGTCGAATATAACCAATTTGTTGAGTACCATTCATAGTATCAAAACAAAATTGATACGCTCCTGAATAAATCTCTGGACAATAGGATATCATAAATACTGATTTAAAACCAATGCCTAAAATATTGAAAGAAAACAAAAAACTATATCTTGAAGCAAATCAAAAGAAATAACTGCTCTGTCACGCCTTCCCACCGCCCCCCCCCCCCCCCCCCCTCCCCCGCCCCCCCCGCACCCGATTCCACCCAGTAACCCACACCAACCANAAAAAATATCTAATAATCAATCATTTTTTATTATTTTTTTTTGTTTTATCCTTAGCAACAACAAACGATAAACCCTCTAAATATTCTCCTAAATTGATTTCATCATTTGAATAATGATCAGCAAGAGTAGTAATACGACGTTGTACACAATTTGTTCTTTTTGTTTTTGGTCTGCCAGTTGCACCAGCTCGCATTTGTATTACTTGATGACGAAAATATACTTCTTGTTTCAAACAATTGATATATCGTTTTATAAGAGTACGAATGAGTGTTAAAAATACGATTCATCACAGTATTTATAAGACTAGACATTCTTGTGTATACTCTTGTCATTTCTTTGATCAATTCGTCTGATAATTAGACTTTATGAGCTTAACTTCTAATCATTATAACTCTTCTCTTTTTGTTCCAGAGGAAGTGGTGATTAATTTATCCCTATCTATATTCTATGGTAAAATTTTGTATTGTACAAGCTATTAATTTAATTAATAGTTGCGTCTCATGCTCTTTATTATTTTTAGTTTCCGACATTTTTCCTTTCGACATTTCTCAGTACATTCGTTGAAATATTAGTACGAGACATTATTGATATATGGCCTATGATGGTCTCTGGCTAGCGTTTTGTGTCACGGTCTGTGACGGTTCAAATTTCTATCTTTTATATTTCAACACTCCTGTTAGATCATGTTTCATAAAATAACATACGCTTGATTCATGGCTAAACTAGCATGATGATTGATGATTTGATAGAGAGTATCTCGATCTAAATTGCATGACCATTTCATGAATAATTCGAACATTGTCATGGGAGTTATTTCTTTTTTGAATTCGAGAATATTAAAAATAAAATCAGGATTTTTCAATGATATATTCACAAGATCAAAATGTGGCACATAACGACGAAGTGGATGATTTGAAAGTAAATAGTAGACATCCGTCGATTTGAGTAGTTTTCCACCGACAATAGGTATCCAATGATGTTGTCGAAGTGAACGACAAAATGACGATTCAACACCTTTCACTGGTGGCATATTCATGTGTCGCATACGAGAAGGAAGAACTGAAGCCACATAATACCTTGATATGAGTCGATGATGTTGATCAAGATAGAGTAGAAGTTGAGTACATTGATGAATATCATTGTCTTTCGACGAAATAAGTGCATCGAATTCATCTGAATACCAATCTTTGATAATAAATGGTTCATGTATGAGTTCAGATAATGAGGACATTTCATTTGCCCATGGACTATCAACTAGTTGATCAACATTGATAAAACCTAAATTAAATCAATTGTATATAAATTAAAATGAATTTTATTCTGTAAAATATAATCTATTACCTTTATCAACAATATTCATTTGAAAGAAATCATAAAGATCAAGTTCATTTAGAAATGCAAGAAATTTTCGTTTTTCACTATCTTGATAGAATAATTCTTTTTGATATTGTTGAATATAATCGTTCGAAATAAATGTAAATTGATGATTAGAAAGTTTTAAATATTCGAGTGATTGTGAACAACCGTATAATGATGTTAAATGAACAATTGTTTTATTAGAACCGAGACGAACAAATTTACCATCATGAATTTTAATTATCATTTTTTTCTTCAATTGTTCCATTTCATATGTAAAAGTTTCAGGGTTTGGTGCGTAAAGTTCTTTATAAATACATATGAGATATGCAATGAGGATCAAATCAGATTTTTTTGACCATTGACTATCATCACTCATGACAGGTAAGATATGACTCGAATAGATTCGTCGAATATTACGTGCATCACAAAGACCTATGAATGTAAAGAACTTCTTAATTAATGTCGGTTCCAGAAGTAGATGGAGAAAACTCAAGGAGGAATATCTTCTGAACGGATGCAGCTAGCGACCTGCGGTTTTCACCATTAGAAAGAAAACACCCAGGGGCATTCATACATGGTAAAATATAATTGGTCAGCAATGGACCAATTAGATGCATTCTCGATGGAAATGTTGAGCACGGTATTCTGGAGCTGTTTCTCAACTTTGCTCGATTGTTAATTTACGTTTTTGATAGAAACAATTGTTCTCTTTCGATCTACGAAAAGCCCGCCTTTCTAGCTTGTTTCGTTCAAGAGTTATAAGAGTTTTCCTGGGACCCCTGATTTCAGCCAATTGACCTTGGATCACCTAGGAAACAGTCTGGGATGGGGTAATTCATCATGCTGAGTCGAATGGTGATATTTGTTTTTAGGTTCGAAATCAGCTTAGGGTATTATCTCAATATTTCCGAAATATAGACTTGTGTGATACGTAGCGGTAGATCCTATGAAATTTAAAAAATCTGTAAAAAGCATTGTAAGCTGATTTCGAATCCAAAAACAAATATCACCATTCGACTCAGCATGATGAATTACCCCATCCCAGACTGTTTCCTAGGTGATCCAAGGTCAATTGGCTGAAATCAGGGGTCTTAGGAAACCTCTTATAACTCTTGAACGGAACAAGCTAGAAAGGCGGGTTTTTCGTAGATCGAAAGAGAACAATTGTTTCTATGAAAAACGTAAATTAACAATCGAGCAACGTTAAGAAACAGCTCCAGAATACCGTGCTCAACATTTCCATCGAGAATGCATCTAATTGGTCCATTGCTGACCAATTATATTTTACCATGTATGGATGCTCCTGGGTGTTTTCTTTCTAATGGTGAAAACCGCAGGTCGCTAGCTGCATCTGTTCAGGAGATATTCCTCGTTGAGTTTTCTCCATCTACTTCTGGAACCGACATTAGTAAAAGGAAGAATTTCGGTTTTTTTTGTTTTCATCTAACCTAAATTTGTTAGTAATGTTTTGATTGAATCAATACGTCGTGGATATTTATCTTCGATATAATCAAGCAGACGATCATCAATTGTTGGTAAATCATCCAAAACAAGTTTGAGATGTTTATCATATTTGATTGATTTATTTGGTGGAAATAAAATTGTTCGTTTATCGAATTCATCAAAAGATACCAATTGTGATTGTTGTCGTAATGGTATTATTTTCAATTTTTTTAATTCGTTTATAGTTGTCATTTCTGTTTCATCATCATCATCATAATCAGTATTAAAACCGGGTCGTTCACGTTCTTGTTGAAGACTATAATCAATACAAAGAAGCCATTGAGCAACTAAAAGAAACGAAAAAAAAGCAGAAAAAATTTCATAAATTGTAGTTCGAGATCAATTATGTTTTTTTTTTTACTTTGTTCAATGCTCGTTGTTTTTGTTGAATGTATTTGATCATTTTGTTTGTATAATGTACGAATTAATCTGAGTATATCGGCAAAATCTAATCGACGACAACCTAATTTAATAAGAATTTGTTCATCACATTCTTTGATAAATTCATCATGTAGATAATAACTATTAAAATGTGATAAAAGTAAATTTTGTGAGAAAATCTTTCGTATAAATGTATCACGAACAATAACACATTGTGATGGTAAAACCCAATCAATGATTTGTTCATCATCATGACAAAATACAGGTAAACGTATGATACCCATCAAGCCTTGAATACTTTTATCAACAAATATATTAAAATATGGATCAATTTCATTTCGAGTTGGTATTAATTTGAGAAAATATTTTAATGTTTGAATTTTTGTTAATGGATTATTTGTTTGATGAAAATCGAGCGTACATTGAGTGAGTAAATCAGGTAAATGTTGAAATTGTTCATAAGCTAAAGGAAATAATTGAATCATTTCAGATTTTAACCAATCATTCCATCGATTATCACGTAAAATCTCTTGTCGTGCTGCCGTTATTTCGAAATCGGCTTGTAAAATAAAACGAAAACCATACGAACGAAGTGGTAAATATGCAAATAATGGCTGTGCCGAAAGAACTTGACGAGATGAACATTCATAAATAGGATTTAATGGATAAGCTATAGCAATAGTTGTTGATTCGACATCGCATTTTACTTCACTTAATTTCATCTAAATAATGTATCATATATATATATATATGTCTTTATCAAAATGAATAACTAATGTTTAAGATTCTATTTATAAATGTAGTTTGGACATGAACGTTTCGAATTGAGAAGAGCTGCTAAGCAATTAAATTGGACTTCTACTGAAGTTGAATTTATTATTTTCCCTATTGTCAAGTTACACCGACACATAAAGTAGGTCAAAACATTGGTTTTATTAATCATTCATCTGTCGTTTTGTATTTTTCTACATTTTTTAAAGTATTAAAAACGACTTTTCGAAATCAAGCTGACATTTTGACTGACTTTAGTTTCCAATATGATTCTGAGGGACCGAACGAGTTAGCGCTGGATTTTAGAAAAAGAAAATAGAAGTTGACGGATTATTTTTTTTATGCTAATTTCAAATATGTCATTGGTTTTCATAGAAAGCGTGACTCTTCTGGTCAAATATCTGTTAAAAAGAGCAACATTCGCAGTTCTTGAGCATTACGTGTGCGAGTGAAGCAGAGGTGCAGAATCTTCCTCATGCGCCCCCGGGCGGGGGGGGGGGGGGAAATTTTTTTGAAAAACTCAAATAATAGGGAAATTTTGGAAAAACCCGCTGGTCAAAAAAAAATACAGTGGGGAAATTTTTTAAAAAACTTTTTTGCGTGCGGGGGGAATTTTTTGGATTTTTGGAAGATTCTGCACCTCTGGAGTGAAGTATCTTGTTCACAAATTAAACTTGATGCAATAGCAGTATTTTTGACACTTTCAACAAGGCTATCAAATAGTATGAAATGGAAAGTGAGTTGTTGCTTTCATAGCATCAAGAGACGAGCATTTTTCCACTGGTACTCTGATACTCCATATGGGAAATACTTAAAGATTACTAGTAGCTAACGACCCCATGATTTTCACCATTGGCTCGAGGACATCGATGTATATCGATTTTTAATAAGAAACATGAACTAACTAATACTCTAAGGAAGTTAATAGCAGTTTTTCTGAGAGTCTCGAAATCAATTAAATCATTGTCGATCACGTTCAAATAGAGTCAAGGATAAGGATAATCGACCACAATCAGTCTAATAACGATGTTTGATTTCGGCTGCCAAATAATCTGATGCTAGTGTATCGAGATTTTCGAAATATTATTCACGCTAGATTTAGAAATAAAAATGCACCATTATCTCTCTTACTTTGAGATCAGTTGGCACGTGAATAACTTTTTTTACAACGAGCCAAAAATGTTTGATGATACTCTCTGATTGTGTTGTTCGTTCTTGTAATTCGATAATTTGTTCTTGAGCATGATCGATTCGTGTAAATGTACTACTACTACTGAGAATGTGATTATTATTGTCGCGAATAATTTCGATTTGTCGAAGACGATTCAAAAACAATAAAAGTATTGGTTGAATATCATCAAAATTTCGTTGAAGTCGATCACCTCGTTTATCTGGTTTGATCGATAGGCGAATACATGTTATCCATTCGTCACTCGATGGCAATACTTCGGTAGGTCTATTTAACCAAATTGGTCGAATATAACCGATTTGTTGAGTACCATTGACAGTATCAAAACAAAATTGATATGGTCCTGAATAAATCTCTGGACAATGGGATACCATGAATACCGATTTGAAACCAATACCTGAAATATTGAAGAATAACTACATTAATCATATCTCATTAAACCTAGTTAAAAATTATTTTTCTATTAATTGATATCTTCTTCATAATTAACTAAGCAGGAGACGTCTGCAAATTTCATGAAAAACAAAAAGACGTCAATTTTTTCCAATGGAATGAATTAGATTTGATATTTCTCTTTGAGATTGTCATTAATAAAGAAACAACTACGTATAAATTGTTTGATTTTTCTAGATGTTATCGACAAGAACTAATCATTTTACCTTTGTGTCCAGCATATCCTTGTTTGTGTTTGCCTTTAGTCGATGCACCAACATTGCAAATAGCCGAAATATGCATTGGTCGAAAGCCAATTTCATTATTACAAATGAGAATACGTTCAGAAGAAAGAACAAAACGTAGTGTGGGCACACGATCCGCTAAATATTGATTATCATCAGCATTTTGAATAAGTTCAAGTACGAAATGACCTTGTTCCGAATAGAGATCATTTGATAATTTTTCAAGACTTCGTTCAATCATTCCTTGAAGATTACTTATAATCGATTGACCAGTCGAATCCAGACCACAATTGACACCGAAACCACGACGAATTGATTCGATATGTTCAAATGCAGCTTGTATAGAATCATTTTCACTAATAATTCGTTTTTCTATATTATTATTAACATAATGACGCGATGCTGTTGCCGATAGAATAGAATCATTTTCTGTTTGTATTACAGTCGGTTGGATATTTTCTATTGGAGAAATTTTTCTTATCGTAAGAAACAAATGTAAGATATCGTTTATGCAAAACTTGAGTGTATTTGTTTCTCGTTCACTTATATACGTGGTTTGGCAGAGTTTGACGAGTTGGTCACGAATATATATATGGGGGTGTCCAGTCTGGCCGGAGGACCCATTAATATATTTTTTATTGTAAGGATAAAATATACTGTTGTTCGAGCCAATCCTAGGTTATCTGTGGTTCTCTCTCATATGACCCGAACAACACCATGTTTTATCCGTACAATAATAGAGAAAAT